GGGTAATGTAGCTTGTACCGTCCAATACATTGACGCATCATGTTGCTAACGATCGTGTCGCAGCGTAATTGATGCCGCAGTACGACCGCTGGCTGGTCGTAGCTGTATCAGAAATCCTATGTGCACCAAAGATTCATATTTTCGCGCGTGCAGCCGCGCATGCGCACACCTTCCGGATAACGCGCCGGTGTCGACACCTGTCGCGACCAATACCACGCGCTTCAAGCGAGCCCCTCCGGTCCCGACACTACCCAAGTATTCTAGTACACTGTAACAGTAGCGCCAAGGCTTCCTCTTCCGAGAGTACCAGAACTTCCGAAGTCAAATTAAACGCGGACCGATCGAATACCGCTTTTTCCGCAGAACATTTGAAGCAGACGATTACGCTCAACGGAAGTCGACGACCGCTGCGCCTGTATCGCCGTTGCCACAGCCGGTGGCGTCGGACGAGTCGACCCTGCGGCTCCGAGCTGCGGCTGTGTTTGCAGTAGTTTGCAGTAGTTAGGCTCTAGTGAGGGTGGGCGCAACTCAAAACCTGGAGAGCGTTTGCAATTTAATGGCGGCGCCTGAGGGAGAGAGAGGATTCGAGAAAGGATATGCGCCAATGTTGCCTGCACGAGAGCAGACGCCCGCTCTTTTGCAACTCTGTTGCCCCATGCATTTTTCCTCCTCTCGCCTCCCATTGCAAGCAACGAACGCCTTGGCGCAGCCTCTCTCGCTTCCTTCTCGAGAGGAGAAAGCAGGGTTGCCAGACAAGCAGGAACGTCCAAGATGGCGGAATTTACCCTTTTTCGCGTTAAAAAATACTTAACCAATCGCAACAAAACTGGTGACTATGAAAACGTAATCATTTATACCTTGTGTAAATTATTCAAGCACCTTAATGGGCTCTTACGACCTGAGTTAGGAAAGAAAACGACCCTTTGCCCCATAGACTCCCAGCAAAATCTAGCAATTAAATGGCGTTCATGTCCCGTGATCCCCGATCTAGCAGTTGCACCCACCCTCACTTGAGCCTCCCTAGTTTGCAGTGTCGATTGCAACGCCATGTTTTGAGGCGGCGGAAACAAGAACCCTATATACGCTCGAGCGCGTAACATAGCGTCCTCTACCGAGGTTTCCTTGAACGCCGCTAGCGTCGTTACCCTTGCAACCTGAGGAAGCAACAATAACACCTTTACGGAAGTTTGTTTGACGCCGTCTTCACGCTGCAAGGTCGTTGCGGCAGCTGCCGTCTTTACACGCAGAGCAGAAAGCAGCTGGAACTTCAGACGCCTGTCGTGCTGATTTGTGTCTCGCGTGTATTTTGCGGATGACAAGTGATGGATGAAGCTGCGTGTCGGCAGCGAGCATCAGTAAGTATATGCTTTTTGATAGCGAAATCATACAGGCCGTGCTTGTTGACGTAAGGGTCCCGCGTGCCTTGCACTGGACTCCAAGTTGTTGCGAGTTGGAAACACGACCGGCTTGTGATTAGAAAAAAATTGTCAGCAATATATGCCGTGGAATAAGCAAGAATAAATTGACTTCCGCTTCAAATCTAGCGCGTCTCGCGTGCTCCCTATAGGGCTTGGGTCGCACTCCATTTAAAATGGAAGTCGAATAATTATTGTATTTACCTTCTCCGCCTTGGGGAGTTCTAAATAATTAGCATTTTTAATGTGCTATCACCAGTGGATGTAATTTTAATAAAGCTTCCGGTTCAGAAAAACCTGCGTGTCATTCCCGTACTTTATTCAGTTGCGTTAGTTTGAGCGAGGAGAAGTCTCCATTGATTTCCTCCACGACAACATCCTACACCTAAAAAAGCACAAAAAAAAAATACAAGGACGAGGAAATAGACGGACAAGAGCCCGACGTAATAGAAATTTTAATGCACTCCTACCAGGCACGCAGCCAGGATTTTGTTTTGGGGGAGGGGGGGGGGGGGGGGCGCCTATGACAAAATGCTGTATGAGGGGAGAGGGGAGAGGAGGCCCCAGCAAAATGGAAGATTTCGGGGGGGGGGGGGGGGGGGGAGGCCGGGCCTCATGAGCCTCCCCCCCCCCCCCCCCCCTCCCTTCCTGGCAACGTGCCTGACTCCTACACGTCACCTTAGTGTACTACACGTCGCAACCTAACCTACACGTCACCTTAGTGTACTACACGTCGCAACGGTGTAAATGTTTAGTCGAATGCGTTTTGCTGTTTATTGACGAAGTTCAGGTGCCAATAAAGGAACAGAACACGTAAATCGGCCCGAGTGTTCGTTTCATTAGCTATCATGCATTTTTCGTTTACCCTAATGCTCAGTTCTCGGGTAAGCTTTGGGACGCAATTGCCGAATTTGTCGGTCAAGAAAGACGAGCTTTGCAGCAAAGAACTACGATTGATGAAACACGGTCGCCACTCCCGCTAAGCATAAGAAATGGGAAGAGAGTTAGCGTAAATAAATTTACATTTCAGGAAAGCGTCGTACACCCGAAGATTATCGCAAAATTTGACCCGTGGCACAAGAGACTCTCGCGAGAGGTCTTTATGACGCATGAGCCAGCTATCGTTTACTTTTTATGCTGATTCTCACATTTGCGTTTGAGCGAGATGGACTGCGCGGAAACCACTTGCGACATGCTTTATGACGCGAGAAAACACACTGGCGCCACCTATCGAGCAGCCACGGAACACTTCTGATCAGAGTATATTTAACGCGCACCATTTTCTCGCTGTGTGCTTGAAATACTCCTTGCGATGTTATAAGCAATCATTTCTGGTAGGTGGTGCATGGTCTGATCTCGCAACTACTCCAATACCCTCAGTCTATAGTTATACGCAGATTTGAAGAGTTCGAGGGCTACTTGATAGATGGCGCCAGCGCTGGCACGCTGGCGCCGTTATTTGTTGTTAGTTTGTCGCAAGCGGCTGCACTGCCAGTCGATCACACTTGAACGCAAACGTGTGAGCCAGCCTTGAAGCAGCCACTGTTGCTACATCGAACAAAAGACAGTCTGCAAACGCTGTGTAAGGCGCGTTTCTTCCTTGGATGACGGTCACATGGGTCGTTCAAAAATCAGTCTTCGAAGCTAATGAGACAAACATGCTTCGAACATGCTCGAGGAGTGCCGCAGATGATGCTGTCATCACGTCGTTAGTGAACATTGTGTCTTTTGTATGAAACACCTTTACGCATCGTCTTCTGCCGAGAAGAAAACCAGTTTCCTCCTCTCCATTTCCTATCGCCCTCTTCTTTCTCTGCTCCACACAGGTGCGAGTCTGCGCTACGTTGGCGCTACTCTCCGCAGAGATGAGGAGGGTTTCCCATTTTTCTCGAATGGAAAGAGGGAATTGAGGGAGAATTTCTTCATTTCTGACTGCTCGTCGACCTGAAACGGCGTGAGCGGAGGTCATAAAACCATCTGGTTTTGTTCAAAACATCATTGTGCACGCCGAATCGAGTGGCGGTGTAGGACCAAATCGCACACGTGGAACCCGTCCGCGCCGCCACTGCGCTTTTGGGAAGCACACAGGACAGAAGCGGGCAGCTGCGCGATTGTCGCGCGACCTAGAGCGGGCTACGCTTGTTAAAGGGGCCCTGCAAGCACGTTTTTATTAATTTTTAGTTTGTACCAAACCTGAGCGCACTGAACGTAGTAACTTAGTGTAACTTTTATTTTCTTGAAATTCGCTTTATTTTAATAGTTATAGGCAAATCAAAATGACAAAAACAAGCAAAAAATAACCTCCCTCATGACGTCCTTGGTTGCTTGAGCGGCCGTGAACTAGAAAAAGGGTAGTGAGCTCAGCGCGAGCGCTCACGGCTACCGCACTCCGTGTCAACGGCGCGAGAGGGCGCCACTAAAGCATGTTCAGTACAGGCTGTATGCAGCGGGCAGCCAGAGGGGCTCTCATTGCATTTGCTGCGTGATTAAACACTAATTCGGCATGACACTTCATTGGCCGCCAACGACAGCAAACACGGGGTAAAGATCAGTTCAGATTGGGAGCCACTTCCACGCTGCCATACCGCGAAACGGCCAAACCGCAAGACAAGCATCTCGCCGAAGGCCTTCGGAAGGCTCGGATCCGGTCGGATCCTCCTGTCCATACGACCGCAGCGCTGCCGCGTACATCCGGGATTTTTCCGTGTCGGCGCCTGATCCCACTACTTCTTTTTAGTATGCGCCGCGTTTTCCACCACTTGGTGGCGGGTATGTCGACGGGTCATTTCTTGTTTCCGTACTTTATGAACTGCATTTGTTTCTTTTCTCATCTAAAATAGTGAACAAAAACTACTTTTATAAGTAATTGAAACGGTTCGCGCCACTTATATTTTGTATTTCGACTAAAAAGAAGCTTTTAGCGGCTCTGACCAGTAGTAAGCCAATGACCAAAGACGTCACATTTTGCGCGCTTTCGGTACCGCGGGTCGCCCTCGTCGGCGGAGGAGGTTTCCGCGTCGTCCGATTAAAATATGGCGCACTGATATTTAGTTACTCTCTCCGTGCCCGCTGGCTTGCCCGAACTTCAAGAGACGTGGAAACCGCAAAAAAGGTAGACGCTTAAATATGATTGCAGGGCCGCTTTAAGTTGGAAGTGCGTACAGGCGGATGCGGGCAATCTTCCGTTCCCAAAGCCGTCAAGCGGCGTGGATTCACTCTGGTGCCGCGCGCAGCTCGGCTATTTGCATTGGAGGCGTCACGGTGTGGCTGCCACACTTTGCCAAGGTTTCTCGCTGAAAGCAGTGAAAAACCTTCCTTCCTGACTGCGACCCAAGTGGTCAATCACAGCTTGGTTTCGTTGAAAGTGGCGACTTGAAACGTGTTCTGGCTCCCTCTTTTCACAACCACGAATTTCTACTTGCCCAGAAATCGCTATTGACCCTTTAATTTTCTATATTTCGTTCCTACGCAACTTCCTCATGACCACGACGACTGGCTCGATATGTTCGGTTTGTTCCCGTCTCTAAACCACTCTTCTACTCTTCCGGACAGATCTAGAGCCAGCGAGCTCGGGCCGACGTTGCGATGAGCAACGGGCAACAGCAGCCGAACGCTTACTACTTGCCCGAGCCGGAGTTGCAGGCGCCACTTGCGGGTTACCACCCTTCACCGCAGCAGGACGCTCCCTACTACCTACCGCAGCAGCGCACACCCTGTGTCACGGCGCCACCGCTACAAGTGAGCGCTTTAAGATCGTCTCGTGGTTTTGTTGACACTGTGGGAAGTTAGTAAACCCCGAAGGGGGGCAGGCACGTAGCCAGGTTCTTGTTTCGGGGGGGGGGGGGGGGGGGGGGCACCCACGACAAAGTGCTGTATGAGGGGGAGGGGGGAGAGGGGGGTCCCAGCAAAATGGAAGATTTCGGGGGGGGGGGGGGGGCCCGGGCCCCATGCTCCCCCCCCCCCCCCCCCCCCCCCTGGCTACGTGCCTGCCCCGATGGGCATCCGGTGTCTGTGCTATATCGACGAGAAATTTAGCCACTGCAGTACCACTGCTATCCCGGAGCCTTTAACATGCATCACACAATAGAGATGCGCGATCTCACGCCGGTACGAAGCTTACCCAGATCTGAATGGGTAGGGGCAACACCTCTTGAAATAATCCAAGCCTGTGCACTAGAATTCTGACGTCATCACGGTGAGATCGAGCGATGAGGCCAATTGGACACGAGTGCTGCGTCAGCGTTCAGCTGGGCCTCGGGTCCAATCAGCGCGTCGAAGGACGCTCGGTGTCGGGCTCGGGCCCAGTGACGGAGTTGGCGCCATCCAACTGTAATGACGTTTCACGGCGGCCATGATTATTCTAGGTGGTGTTGACAGGGGTGGCGATTGAACGCAAGATCGTTGGGAGCATGGGAAGCTCTTTGGCACGTGTGCGCGCGTGTTGTTTATACCGAGTGTTGGAGAAATGAAAGCCGCATGTTTCGCGTCGAAAGAATAAACTAAGTGTCGTTGGAAGCTCAGTTTCTACTCGACTCTAGCTCCAGCGGTTGGCAATAAGTGAGAAAGTTTCAGAACCTATACCGTTGTCTGAATAAAAACTTAAAAAGTTACGAGAAATTTTCGAAAATATTTTCGTGAAAAAACGGCGGCCCAGCAGAGCCCGCGGATATATAAAGACATATTACGAGTGCTTCTGAAAACGGGATTACAATTATATATATATGGGTGATTTCATCTCAACTCAGGCACGAATTTAGGGTCGAATTTTTAATTTTGACGAAAAAAATATATGTTTTGGGGCGATTCCTATAATAAAAGAAGACGCAAACGGTTATCTCGTCGGATTTTTTGTTCTCAAGTTATGGACCGTTGAAGCGGTCAAGGTGGAAATTGATGTTTTTCCAGCCTATCGGAGGTGCCATATTTCACTCCATCCCTTTTCAATACTTTTTACGCTACATCAATATAACTTTTTGGGAACACTCTAGACATAGGCGTTTTCATGTTAATTAAGCGTCTAGGTCATAACTATCTTAATGATTTTTTTTTTATTTGTCAAACCGCCTCTCTGTGACGATATTTGACGAAGTTCAGCAAGCTGTGCTGTGTGACCTAATCAACATATTTTTATGATATTTGTATCACCGTAAAGCGCCAATTATGCTCTTTTTTTTTAGTATAATTTCAATATTTCGGCACAAGTATATATTGCGCTACATGTGCCTGAAAAACGAATATTTCGAAAAACTAGCAAATTTGGAGTCGATTTTCTAAAAAAACCCACTTTTTATTTTTTTCATTTTTTATTCACAGTTAGTTAATATAGTAGTCTATCAGGAACTACCAACAGAAATTGTAATATATTGTTTGTATGGCCACTATTAAGACTCGAATCTTGTGCTATGAGCGTTTTGAACGGGACTTCGCACAAGCACTTTGCTGAGCAGAATTTTGGCCAATGTAAAGTTTTCTATTTAATGTTAGTATTTACCACAATATCTGAGCGTAAAAGCAAGTGAAGTAACAATATTTATCCTTACAATATTTATTTACTTGGCACTGGGTGATTTGAAAGGTGTGTGAGCTCCGCCTTATGTATTGACGGAGAAGTACGTAACATCTAAACTCACGGACAAACTTAAGTCACGTGGGAAAAGTCTAAGTAACCTGGCATGAATCACTGCAAATAGAAATGAAACCTAAACACATGACTAACGCATTTGAAGCCTTACACGCCACAAAATGCTCGTCCTTACACGCCACAAAATGCTCGTTATTTTACGAAAGAGCCCGTATGAGCACAAAATAGACAGTACTTCCTAAGCGTCAGATACTAAATCGCACATATGTATATGCACTGCATATCTGTTTGACACAAGAAAATATGACAATTACATATAAAGTTCGGAATTTTAAACTCAAGATGCGGCACGTAACCAGAGAAGGGAAGTAATATTTCATGTAACCTAAACATGTTCATTGCATAAAATATATCAAAATGTGTTGACCAAATGTCTCATATACTCCTAATTAACATAAAATACACTCAAAGCTAATACAAATATAAACTTTAAAACGAATTGAACACCGCCAAATTCCGTCTGGTTTACGGATAGACGACGCAGTACCTTTTCAATACTACACGGCGCTGCTCACACAAAAACAGTGATAAACACCTGGGATAGGGATAGTCATCTTTCGACGTAGCACATTTCGAGACAATAGGTTGATGCGATTCTGAGCCAGCTTTCGCTTTGTCCAAATTGCAGTCAGTTCAGTGTCAAAGTCTATGGCGCGTCGTCTGATCACACAGCGCGCACTCACAGGGGGACAAGGATGAACGCACTGTTGAAACGGTCCGGCCTTTTCACGGTCCCACCATTTAGCTCTGTCTATTCTGGGGTTTGGTAAACTCTTTCTAGGACCACATCACCTCCCCCTTCCCCCATTGCTTTGCTCCACACATGAGAAGATTGGATGCCTTTCGATGGGGTTGCCTTCTCCCACTCCTTCCTTTTAAGCTCCCGATAACGAGACAGCTCCTCTTGGTCGATGAAGAGAAGCGTTATCCCCTTGATTTTCTGGCCGAGAGCTTCAACGAACCTACGCGCGTTAGTTATGGAGCTCAGTTCAGTTGTTTTCAAGTTATTCAGTGACGCATGATGCTTCAGCACACCACCCACTCCATCGCACGCGCTTTTGCCGTGCCCTGACGCCGAGTATATCCACCTGCTGACAACAAACTTCTTCTGAAATTCGTGTAATTGGTGCCGATTTTTGAAATGGCTTGGAGCGCCGTCCGAAACATAGATTAGCTCCAAAAAAACGGGCAAGAGTTCCTTGAGCCTGTCTTCAATCATTGTGAGCGCAAAGAGCGCGTGTGCAGAATCATGACAGGTATCGTCACTCACGACGCCGAAACTTAGTGTTCCCTTCGTGGCCGTCGCAACGCAGGTGAAGATTGTCACCATCTTGGTTTTCCAGTGATATCTTTGCACTGCACGTTGGAGCACAATACTCCAGTTTTCGGCGAAATCAAAGTGGAGGACTACGACACGTGGCTTCACATTTGCTTTTTCAAGCCATATTTCTCTCTGTTGTGCGCGCCGAATATAATAGTGGGGTATGTATTTCTTTGTCCACTTGTTGAGTTCGTTAAGAAAAGCAGTGGCCTCCAAATGTTTTTTCACCAACTCGCCACCAGATTCCCACAGTGTCAACTCCAGTTCATCTTCAGCGCTCATCCCTAGCATCTCGAGGGATATGTCCTTCCGGTTCGAACAGGCTTCACACCTCAGCAAGAAGCAGTTTTGGGAAGGATTTTCACAAAGAAAAATTTTCTGGACGTCTTCAAAGGTCATGGTCTTCCCCGCCGCATTTGACAGAGATGTCAGACAGAGTATGAAGTTGGCGCAGCATACACGTCACACACACACTCTTCATGTACAGGGTGTTTCTTAACCCACTTGGGCCGAAGAGAATAAAATTTTGTTAGGCCCATCTTTGACTTGGGATTGGCCGCCTTGAATTCTTTGTAGGTTTCCCTAATAGATCTCGTCATAAATCGCTTCGTGACGAAGACTTCCTGACCATCAATAAAAAGTCTTACGACATCCTTCTTGTTCGGGCTTTGTCTTGAGCAGTCTTTCGCATCTGATGTGTAGTAAGTCAACGCAAGAGCGACATCGTTTTCGTTGAGAGCATGTCCTTGGTATGGGTCAGGTGACGCCCAGACCCCCATTTTTTTTTTTCAGCATTCTTGATTGGTCCAAAGCATACTTTGTCACTTCAGGAATTGCTTTCAGGATATCTCTCTTTTTGAGGTTAGATGGAAAGAGAGTTAAGAGGCGGTAGCGTTCTAGCTGCGACGCCCTCTTGACGTAGGCTGCTTGTAAATTCCTGACCCAGTCGGAGCACGAGGAGCATGGATCTTCTTTGTCTCTGCCCGTAGGTTCTCCGTACACGTCACTTAGTTTACGACCAATTTTCTTTTTGAAGTCCGCGGTTATCTCGGATTTTTTTCGCTTAACATAGCCGGTACGACTTCGTGGGGTCACGCTAGAAGGGAGTTTAAGCGGTGTCACAGTTACTTCGGCAGCATCAATTGCTTCAGACACTCCTTGGACCAGGGCTTCCTCGTCGACGAATGATCTGTCCGCTGGTTTCAGGGATGATGACGATGAGCTTGATGACAACATTTCCTGTCCTTGCTTATGTTCTTCAATCTGACCCAAGAACTTTGTGTAGCAGTTATTGCACAGAACATCTCCAGGGCTTACGCGCTGGGCGTCCTCAGCCGGTAGAACTTGCTTAAGAAAACTTAGGTTTAGCTCCGAGACTTGACGAAAATGGCGTCCGTAAAACACTCTTCTCTTGTGTCTCCTTGAATAGTCGGCGCACACTTTCCGGTCTGAACTGAATAATGTATTAGCCATGGCAGTAAAGCGCCGTTCACACTCTTGCGACCGAGTACGACCGAGAAAGACCAGACCGGTTTTTAAGCCTTTTGCGACTTCTTAAGACCGGATGCGATGCAGCGGAGCTGGTCCTAAGAGATCGCAAGAGGCTTAAAAACCGGTCTGGTCTTTCTCGGTCGTACTCGGTCGCAAGAGTGTGAACGGGCCTTAACGAACACTTCTGGCTTTTTCAAAGCAGGAGCAGTTTTAAGTTCATCCAGCTCAGACAGCACGGAGGTAGAATGAGTACCAGCTTTCCGCCGCGGCTTAGGAATTCAAGTAAAGAGCCAGAAGGGGAACGAGAAGGCTATTATCAGTTAGACGACGTGCGAAGATTTGGCTTCCTTTGGGTCCCCAATCTTCCCGTCGGCCCATACTTAAAGGGGCACTGACACCCCAAAGGTCGTACTTATTTTTATTGTCTAAAACGATGCAAGTTGCAGTCATAAACACGCAAAAAAAACCGCATCGCGAAAAAAAATTTTCCCGCGCGCGCGCGCGCCTTTTTATTTTTGGCGTTTGATTTTCCCGCCTCTCGCCTCCTCGCTTCTTTTGATCGGTGACGTCAAAAATCAGGAAATTTAGAAGCTTTGTAGGCGACATCTCTATAACATTTAATTACGGCAATCGTAAAACATGTTTTTTAACGCAATTGCGAACGCACTACGGCCCTTCTTTTTGAAATACCAAAAATCGGGAGTTCGTTGTGGTGCCGTCTCCTGGATTTGTATCCTCCAACGGAAAACAGGCGACACCGCTCAAAACCGGTCCGCCGAAACGATGGCAATCGCTCCTTTCCTCCTCGCTTTGGGTCGCCATGGCAACAGCAGGGAGGGGTGAAAGAAAGTCGACTCTCAGGTCTCCGCGATTTTTGACGTCAAGGCACCGGCGCCGATCGCGCGGGAACTTCGAATTCGGCATTTAGAAATTGTTTTTTTACTTCACAAATACTGAACTCCCAAGTTTCAAATTTTGAGGGTAATGTCCCGGCATCGTTTTCAATCGTTTCGGATAATAAAAAAAATATGATTTTGATGTGTCAGTGCCCCTTTAAACATTCGCTCTCCGCCTCGCGGGTAATCTAAGTGCCACGCAGCAGCGGCGTCTCTTCTAGTGCCCGCGGATTAGTGGCACGGTTGTGTTAGAAGGACGAGGAGGTGAGCTTGGAGAGACAGAGGGGGGCTTGCGACGTAAACTCTGACCTCGAAACGCCTGTTCTCCCGACAATCAGGGTTTCCGTGTCGGTCGCATCCAAAGGCATAATCCTTAGAGGCTCCAGGACCCCGACGAAGATAGAGGCGGTAGCCCCATGATGTTCAAGATAAAGTTTTCTATACACGCCGCCTGACTGGGGTGGCATCTGTAAAATTTCGGAGCCGAAAGCAAAAGGTCTCAGAGGACTTCTCTAACGATCTGCATTCCCCCGTATTGGGAGAAAAAGATGCGCTCGCACTTGTGAATACAGACTTCTAAGTAACTTTGTTTAAGAGCACTACTCAAAATGTTTTTCATTGTTTATGGTTGGATATTAGGTAACGGCTAACGATAAGTAGAAAACCTTATATAGGCCAAACTTCTGCTCAGCAGAGCGCCTGTGCGAAGTCCAGTTAAAAACGCTCATAGCACGAGATTCGAGTCTTAATAGCGGCCATACAAACAATATATTACAATTTCTGTTGGTAGTTCCTGATAGACTACTATATTAACTAACTGTGAATAAAAAATGAAAAAAAATAAAAAGTGGGGTTTTTTAGAAAATTGACTCCAAACTTGCTAGTTTTCCGAAATATTCGTTTTTCAGGCACATATAGCGCATTATATACTTGTGGCAAAATTTTGAAATTATACTCAAAAGAAAGAGCATAATTGGTGCTTTACGGTGATATAAAGATCATAAAAATATGTTGATTAGGTCACACAGCACAGCTTGCTGAACTTCGTCAAATATCGTCACAGAGAGGCGGTTTGACAAATAAAAAAAAAAATCATTAAGAATGTTATGACCTAGACGCTTAATTAGCATGAAAAAGCCTATGTCTAGAGTGTTCCCAAAAAGTTATATTGATGTAGCGTAAAAAGTAGGGAAAAGGGATGGAGTGAAATATGGCACCTCCGATAGGCTGGAAAAACATCAATTTCCACCTTGACCGCTTCAACGGTCCATAACTTGAGAACAAAAAATCCGACGAGATAACCCTTTACGTCTTCTTTTATTATAGGAATTGCCCCAAAACATATATTTTTTTCGTCAAAATTAAAAATTTGACCCTAAATCCGTGCCTGAGTTGAGATGAAATCACCCATATATATATATATATATATATATATATATATATATATATATAGATGTATGCCATCTCCTGACGAAGCCGAGCCTCTCGGCGAAACTGTCGTAATACATGTAATAAACTCCTGGCATAGCAACTCCGAAAGTATGGATCTCTGACTTATATATATATATATATATATAAATATATACAGAAAGCTCGCTTTTAAATATTAAATTGAGTGTAAGTTTCGAAAATTTAGAATCTGGCCCAAGCCGTTTTTTCTTTGTTTCTATCATTCTGGCGGAGTCTGGGCTTTCGGTAATACAGGGTTCATCTTTGCAATGCAAAACAACATGGTTCTCCTCTTTTTATTTCAGATACTTGTTATATGGTTAAAGACGAATCGAGTGAAAGCATAACCTTGAGAAGCTACTGAACGCTGTCGACCAGGGGCCGAGTTATTCATTAATATTAGAGTCAAGACACTTTCTTGGCACGGCCATGTGATAGTGGCGTCACGTATGGCGAAGAGTCGACAAACTCTGCTCTATTTGTCGCAACCTTCATGACTACTTCGTATAACCTCTGGGGAGAAAAGAAAACTGAACGTAAAGAAACAGAGAAAAAACGAAACATAGCGTTACGTTTTAGTGCTGTGCGCAGATTAATAGCGCTTAACAGATTAATCGCTGACCTTTGTTACATTAATTCAAAGGTTCAACATTGAGGGTGACAGAACTCTTAAAGTAGTGGAAACTTTGGATATTACAAAATATGCTTAGGGAACAGAATTGCTGGGGTTCGTGTACACCTTTCCAGTGCTATCACCCAGGTTTGGGTTATCATCTAGGAGAAAAATGCCGTGTCACTAGGCGTCCTATATTATTCAGGAGACAGCTGCTGCGCATGTTCGGAACAAATTCCACACACTAGTAGACGAAAATTGCACAACGCAGAGGACGATTATTGGTACGGTATTTTGCCTCAGTGAAGCGGGAACGACACGTTTTAAGGCTGCACTGCATATAAGTGATTTAGCGAGCGACGAGACGAATGACGGCGACGAGAGTCAGCGACGAGCACCGAAAATTCTTCACTGCCCCTCGCCGCGTCGTCCCGTTTTTGGATTCCAATAAAACATCGCTCATCAGCTTGGCTGCTTGCTCCCATCGCTTTCGTGTGGTTTGCCTCGTCTCGCGACTGACTGAGCGACAGCGGAGCTGGTCGGTTGTCTCGGCGCTCGCCAAATCGCATACGTGCAGTTTATACTTTAAGCGAGACAATTAATTTCTTTGCTGGCTTGTTTGACATACACATTAAAACATTTTACACCCTTAAGAGCATTATTCCTGGGACAAGCTGATTTACTTCCTCAAAAAGGGCACTGACAGGGTCTTTATGCCTGCCAATGTTTTTATTTGTAGGTGACATATAAAAGTCCAACTACCCAGAACACAAGTTGCGGCTCGAAATACGTTTTTTTTTCTCCAGAAAACCGCCGGTCGAGTGTCCAGTGTTTTCAGCAAGCTCAATTTTCCTGCTATTTCAGAGTCGATCACAAGAAGAAGAAAGAGGATGACTGTTGGACAGACTGCTGGACGGACTGCTGCCCGGACTGCTGCTTCTGGATCCTCTACGTAGTCTTGTGCAAAAGTGACTGAGTGTTTGAGGATGGAGCGCCGGAAAGAGAAGCAACGTCAGAGCTCCCACAGAGGAAAGCTTCTTCGCCACAATGGTGCGGCGTATGAAATTTCAAGCCATGGCTGGCGTGCATATCTTGAAATACTAGGCGTTGCAAGTGGGCGGAGCCAAAGACAAAACAACAACAAAACAAAACCGCGCCGGCGCGCAAGCCCCTATTGAAAATTTTTGTACATATATTTCTTATACGGGATCTGGGTATAAACCCTATTCGGGATCCTGTACAAGTATACATGATCCAAATCCCGTATACGTATGCGGGATCCAAATCTCGTATGCCTATACACCTTTCCAAGAAACACTCGACCCCAAGGGCAACAAACCGTTTTCTACCCCAGTCACTGGGTAGACTCTCACCGGCGTCCTTGCTAACCCTAACCGAGTAGACTGTGATTTCGATTGGCGCAGCCTGTGTGGGCGCAGTTTCAGAGACTGCTGGTGGCTGAATTATCGTCTTCTCCCGCTGTATGTTGTGTTTCATGGTGCATGTATTTTCCGAGGACATTGAGAAAGCATTGTACCACATATGAAAAAAAGGCACAAAAAAAAAATAAGAACAACCTGTAAATTACTTTTGTTGGGTACGCGAGCGACAGAACGAATGCGACTGGAATGTTAGTTGTCGTGTTGTCGTATTTTTACGATAAGTTTTGACGGCACCTCCCGATCAGCCGCGTGCCAAACGACAAAGCACTTAGCTGTCGAAAATAATTTACAACAGAAGATAGCCGAAATGCAAATGCGTGTTTACCGATGGACAGGACAGAGACATACACTTTAGCAAGTGTTAACATTCGAACAATATGTAGTACGTACCACACGATGCAGCGTTATCTAAAAATAATTTATTTGACAAAGATCTCAAATAACACAGTCACAGTAGACGACAGTCACATTTTGACGATCGGGCGGAATCCAAGATGGCTTCGTTTTGAGGCACAATTTGGGGAAAGCTTCCTTTTTTGCACAACAGCACCGAGGCAAATGAACGAACGCGACTGACCCGTTTCCCATCTAAACCGGGACATCTATTTTTGGGGATGACTGAGGACTCAACGCGTATTATTTCTAGGATTGGGAGAACAGTTCCCCTTGTTCGCAAAATCGCGACGAGGGCCTTTCGACGTCCTTCTTCTCCTTCGTTTCCCGTGAATGTCGAGCAGAAAAGCTTGAATGGCAGGCACATACCAGCCCTATTTCTCACAGTGGAAGATAACACAAAAAGGGTACGCACCGCGCATAAAAAATAAGTGAGAACTTTAAAAAAAGGCCAGAAAACGTCGAATACAAAGCCGTAAAACATAGGTAGAAAATCGCTCTGAGCGGGTCTTCACAGTCAGAGAGTGGTAGAAAATTTCAAGCTTATAGTGGGCGCGAGAGTCGCACCAGCCGCATCAGCATCAGCAACATGGCGGCGGCCTAGGAGCGTTTTTTGAAAAGGTGTATACAAGATTCAAATCCCATATGCCTATACGGAATCCAATTCATGTATGCCTATACAGCAATTAAATCCTGCATACCTACATGTGGTTCGGGTATACGGGTTCCGTATGCCTGAATGGCACCTGTATACCTTTGCCGGGCCCTTACGTGAGCATGGGTCGTGTATATGGTGTTCGTACCCGCAGGCATTCAGGGTCTTAGTGAGGCTTATTGGCGACTCCAGCAAAATCGACATCGCATAGCGGTAGCGTCGAGAAGCTCAAGAGAGGGGGTCGTTTCGACTCTGTCATCTGCTATCGCTGCTTGGTTCTCGTAGGCATCATAGAAACATAGTTTCCAGTAATTACCTTTATGCTTCCGCCGTGTCATTCCTACACACTGACTAGAAGAAGATTTCTGCCATCGAAAAATTGCTTTGCTTTCATATGTACCGCCGATTTTACGTCGCAGTGTAAGAACTTTATGGTGGTCCGCGTGCTGAACGACGAAGACGACCTCCTTTCATCCGCCATTTTGCTTGACCAGCGCACCCCCATAGTTCGCTGGAGTCGCGAATGCGAGTGTACTGGACTTGCTTCTGTATAAAATCTGGCATGACGCGTGTGCACCACAAGACATCCCTGACCCGTTTGTGGAGGCTTTGCAAAGGAATAACGAAACATAACATACCTTACGAACTTTATCTTTTATTGACATGAAGAACAGCCTTATTAGGGACACAAAACAGCACTAAGAATGAGGACTAATAGAAGTGGACAGGACAAATGCTGGCCATCAACTGCCTTTTTAATACACAAGAGTAAGACAGATTAGAAATTAAAAAAAAAAAAGAAAATGGAAGATTTATAAAGAAGCAAACGACGAAGAAGTTTAAGAAGCTGCGAATCTGGAATAAAAAATGCTCTAAATAAATGTCAGGTGAAATAAAAGTTACTATGCTTGATGTCAAAGAAAAGAATGAAAAAGAAAAAGCTTCAGGAATGAACTGACAAAGAGGTGAAAGAACAGAAATAAAAAGTAAAGAAGAAGGCCGCTCAATACCTGAAAGCCTGCTCAATAATCGAAGCGTGCTCGATACCTGAAAAGGGAATAATGTGAACATCAGGCACCTTCTCCGTATATCCAGCAGCACTGCCAGTCAGGAGCAGAGTGTCGAACAGGAATTGAACCGGACCAAAAACCAGAACCGAACCGTTATTTTTATTCGAACTGGAACTGAACCGAACCGAAATCGTCGCCGCCATAATATAACGGTAATCGGTTCAAAACGGTCCAAGGTATATTCTTTTTTAATACTACAAAAAAAAAAAAACTTTTGAAAAACAAAAAATTGACAGCAGTATTTCTGCGTAGTGATCAAATTATCATATACCGAATTGCAGTGTGTGAGAAATTGTAGGTGTTCGTGGCGCTTTTGTATTGGCACTATGATTCATCATCTGTCACATGCTCACGTGACGTCATGGTGTGAACACATGCTGTCAAGTAATGTCACACCACGTGGCTCGTTACGTAGTCGCGTGACTTACTGCATCAGGTCTACTTAAATTGAGAACGTCACTAGATTTATTAGCGTTGTTGACATCGTGACGTCACGAAGCATCACGAATTGTCACCGCGAGTCTCATGAAAACGTGACATACTCTGTTGTCATGAACCCGAGTCTAGTGCTCGGCCTCATGACTATCAGCATCTTCAAACATTCGCGGGTAATGGCTCGTGCTCAATCATAGATGGTAATAGCTGCTGAACTGTAACTATGTCTAAACCTCAACTCATGATTGTTTTTTTTAAACCCCAGCGCATGACTATCATGAACACTGATGGTATACTATAATTAGTGTCAGATCACGTGGCCACTCGTTTTAATAGAAAGTTGAGGAGGGGAAAACCTTTCCTTTATTTTTCCAGCGTCTTCCATTGAGCGGAGAGGAAAACTAATGGGTGTTTTTGCATGTTATTAACGTCAGGGATTAGCTCTTAGTGGTATTTACTGAAAGTACAAAAATTGTTTCACGACCCATTTTACATGTACACATCATTGAGGTACCCAAACGTGTTTTTGTTGTTGCTGAACTGTCCCAGACAGTTGTCCCCGAGAATAAAATCATTGAAAATACTAATTGTGACATATTCATCGAACGATAAATAGAACTATAAGTGTGCACGGGAGGGATACCTGAAAGAAATATCCTAGCGGTCTCAGAGGGACAGCCGAACGTAGGCAGCCGCTTACAGGAATGTCTCGCAGGAGTCATTCTCAATTTTCCCCCAGTTCAGCACCTCCGTATTTTGTTTAAACTTCACAGTTTTGGGGTGCAAAGAAATTGAGGATTACTGTTAACCAATGTCACAAATATAATTGTCAAAGTAATACCCCAAAATGGAGGTGGGAGTTTCTCGGGAATACAAACTAATACAAACTATTATCTGGAGGAGCATCGAAAAAAGAAAAGGGGAGAGAGGGGGGAACGGGTTAAAACATACTGTGTTGTAAAGGTTTCTCTGCTCCGCATCTTCGGCACAGACCTGAAAGCGCGGTTCATGAAACTACTTTGTTTGCAAAACCACTTCTGCCAGGAAGCGCGTTTTTGTGGTGCCACACTCCCGCGCCGTTCGTCACAACGCTACACCTAACAAGAATAATCTATGTCTCTCGAATATGTGACTTGCACTGAGCGCAAACCTTCTGCAGCTTGGATTTTGCACCACCGGATTTGATTTTCTCAGCAAGAACAAATTGCAATGACCACCAGCATACAGTGCGATGATGTCACGTGGAAACCATCTTAAACAGATTAAACATTTTTGTGAAAAACCCGAGGCTGAGGTATTGACAGACGACGACAAGAAAGAGAAGGAAATGCGATGTTTTCAACACTACAGCATGTCTCATTATGATAAGCGTCAGCCTAATAAACTGTTAGAGTGCGAATGACTGACAAAGCACAGAGTACTGAAATGAAAGCCCAAAACAAGTGCACGTAGAACCGAATGTAACATTAGCCTCCCGAGACGGTGTTTTGTGAAGTATCAAAACCGTGCAAGCCGATGTCCAAATGTGATTTATATTAGAAATATATTGTCCGAATTTCGCGCTATTTATATGTAATTAGGAATATCATTGCTTGCATCTCTATGCATTTTTTCTGACAGTAAGGAGTTAATGTATAAGATTATCGAGAAGAATAACATTTATTATCTCTCTGTACATTTCGTAAATTTGCCTTCAAATGTATGTATTATGTCAGCACATACATTTTTTTAGGCATACCCTTCGACTTGGTGTTTCACACTGCCAAACAGCGAACAAGAAAGCACATTCGCGCAGACTCAGCACCTGGAGTATTTTCGGGTACCGTCCTCCCGTGTCGGTCTCAACTTTATGCAGTCAAATTGATTGATGATAACAAAAATATATTTAATTGCTGTATTATCTGAAATATGCTTTGCAAATCTTTTCCGGCATTTTCATCCTCGATGCAAACGCCAAAAAGTGATCGGCGTTCAATAACTATTGTCTCCTTACACATATTTATCTTCTCAAAATTATAGGAGTCTGTTGTTACCTATTTTACGTGATGAACAATAATTTTATGTGTCTGTGGGCTGGACAAAAATAAGTACACAGGGGCGTGTGGCGAACTATGAAGATTGCGCACGCAGACTGCCAG